ATTAAACTGAGATTAATCAAAACAAGATGTTGAACAAAGATTTAAACTTTCAAATATTGTCTCATAAGATCACTCTTTCTTTTCGCTGAGATTTGTGTTCAATCATAAAGGCACAATCCTTTATTTTCTGTCCTTTATAATTATGCTTTTTTGAACAATGAATTCTATACAAATTTGTCATATTCTACCCACTAACAGTTAAAAAAAACTGTTGTTCAAACATTTTTCATGATTATGAGACCCTTAGTATTCTTCTTTCTTTACTTAGATATAACTGACATGTGATATTATATAAGTTTCAGGTATATGATATAACATATATTCTCCTTTCATAATATTCTCCTTTCATGATATTTGTATGTATTGTGAAATGCTCACCAAAATAATGTTAGTTAACATCCATCACCACACAGTTACATGTTTTCTTGTGATAAGAACTTTTATGATCTACTCTCTTAGCAACTTACAAATATACTTTACGTTATTAACTCTAGTCGCTATTCTGTACATTACATCCCCGTGTCTTATCTATTTTATAACTGGAAGTTTGTGCCTTTTAACTACCTTCACCCATCACCCATCTTGCCCATCTCCCATCCCTCACCTCTGGCAACCACATCTATTCTCTGTAGCTATAAGTTTATTTATTTTATGTTGTTATTTTTTTTTAGATTCCATATATAAATGACATCATATGGTATTTGTCTTTCTCTGATTTATTTCATGTAGCGTAGTGCCCACAAGGTCCATCCATGTTGTCACAAATGGCAAGGTTATTCTCCTTTCTAATACAATGATGAAATAAAATCCTAAATATTTCAAACAAAATGTGTCTTTATCTTTGCAAATTTCATGTTAGTGTTAAAAAAATTAAATGACTCTAAGACATTTTAAGGGGAAAATATCAATCATAAATAATTTTTAGTGGGACTACTTTTTGGTGGGACTTTGAAATTAACTTCTTGCAATAAATGTTAAGTAATTAATTTCTCAAAATTACTAAAACTACTGTCGTAATTAATTGTAGTGTAATGGTTTTTGCAGTTTCTCTCATATACATATTTTTTCTGGTGAGACTTCCATGGCAGGAGACCAAACATTGTGCAAGCCCAGGGTGTTCGGCGCTGCTCGGGATCCCCCTCCAGGGCACCTGCTGCGCCGAGTCAGGAGCCGCGTCAGCGCCCCGCCGAGCTGCGCTCCGGCTGAGCCTGTAGCAGCTAATGACAGCCAGCGGGGAAACTGGACCCAGCCTTGTTTGCCCCGTGCAGCTCCCCACTACTGCTGACATTTTATTCGGGGGCTGCCCACTGGCCTGAGGAAGACCGTCTGAGTTGCACGGCTGTTTGAGGACCTTTTTACTCAAGCCTCCTGCTTTTGTCCCCCTCTTCTTACGGGTGGCGTACCTTCATCACAGCCTGAAAGCCTCCCCTGCCTTTCTGCTCACTCTCCCCTTTATCTCCCACAGGTATTTCCCCCAACAAATTGCTTCCAGTTCTTACTCTGTCTTCATAAATGCTTCTAGACGACCCAAACCGATACAGTTTTGGGAACAACCTACTGAGTTGTTCCTAATTGCAGCAGTCTATTTGTTGGGGTGTATGGTCGATACTAATTAACACATTTCATTTATTATGTTGCATTCAATCAAGAAAACTCTCTCTGAGTACATTAAGCAAACATTAAGAACAAATTAGCATGATCCAAAGAATAACAAAAATTAATGTTATCTCATACATAAAGCCCACCTCAACAGTCAGTAAGAAATTTTTTTTCAGTTGTTAAAAACAGTTTTAAACAGATGTTCCTTGTATTGGAACTTAAAAGCTACCAACATCAGTCTACAAGATAATGAACAGGAAATATGGTCCAGACCTGAGGGCTCAGCATCAAGAATTCTCTGGTCACCACCCCAGTTGCCAACTCTGAGAAGAGACCTTAGGAAATCCCATTCACTGTATTCTCAAAATACTAACAATTCCAAAGGTTTTGTGGCCAAGGAACTCCCACTTCCTGTTGACAGTCTGAGGAGGCTGCAAGGTTTGGCAGCAGGAAATGGGTTCTGCATGTAGTCAGATTGCTACCACTATAGTTCTTTGGTAGGGTAAGAATATACTTCAAATGCCTCCCCACTGAGATATATCCTAAAATGCATAAATTTCATCAGAAGTCATTTTATTTATAGATGAGAAATATATTTCATTCATTACATATGAAAAGAAAGAAGGGGGTTTCTACGTACAATAAACTGAGACAGGAATTAGAAGCAGGAGAAACATATAGGGAAAGCCTGTTAAGTGGGGATGTAGTTCAGTGGGGGAAAAGGGGGACTCTGTAATACTTTCAACAATAAAGACAAATTCAAAAAACAAAAACAAGAAAATACACAAAAAATAAGCTTTGAGAAAGTTATTCAATAGTGTTCACCTTTCTTATAATCTCAAAAATAGACTTACTCTTTTTTTTTTTTGGTCATGAAATCCCTTGAGGAAAAATATAATTATACTTCAAATTACAAGTTACATAGCTTTATAGAAGCAATCAGCTTTTTTTTTCAATGTGGCCAATATCTATGAAGTCCCAAATGTAGACATAGGAGCCCTCAGATATCTGTAAAGGTAACTTCTTTTCAAAGATTTGCCCTATGGTGCTTTAAATGTTTCAAGTTGAGAACTCATGAGAAAGCTCCTTCTTTTAATGATTATATTAAAATTTTATAGCTGTCACCATGGAACAAAGAGCCTTCCTTTAAATATAGTTTTCAAGAAGTCAGTGTCTAAGTATGATGTTCACTTTCTTAGTAGAATAACACCTTTGCTAAGTTACAAATTTATCTCTGGAGAAAAGCTGTTTTAAACATTCAAAAGTATTGAATATTTTATTTTTATTTTTGTGTCAAATTATTTCATGGAAATAATATTAATAATAACCATAATTACCATGCTCCATATGTTTTCTGAGTATATTTAATTTATAAATTATATGTTTATAAATTTATATTTTACAATACTCATGATAAACCTATGGGGTAAGTATTATTTCTCTTTTAGAGTTGGAAAAGTGGGACTCAGAAATTTAAAAGTCTCACAGGTAATAAATGACTAAATTGAGAGTTGAATCCAGAATTTTGCAAATCCAAAGCCAATGCCCTCAACCCCTTACTTAACTGCCCATGGTATGTGTGAAATATGTAGACGATGGACAGGACAGTTTGGGCTGGATCAGTAAGAACTGAACATTGAGTATGCATATATTTTAAAGTACCATGCATTGTTCAAAGACCAAACATGAATTTTTGAAAAACAAAGCCAATTTACTACAATCCACATTTTCTGTTACATGTGGAATGAAATGCAGATTATCGTTCATAAACTAAAACTGTGCTCATTTTTTCATTCAATAAATTTTTATCGACTGTGCTCAAAAGTTTTGCCGAAGTTGTGTGTGAACCCTAGTTGATCTGAACTAAAATATGAAAACCTTTCATGACAAAATAAAAAGCAAGACCCTTCGAAACACAGATTGCGGTAGATATAAGGCCTTTGAGGAGAATTGGTCAAAACCAAATAATTGACCCAAAAATAGATAAAGGAAGGTTCATTAAAAAAAAAATCTGATCAATAATGCAAGTGATAGGTAAAAACAATGAAAAAGTATTACTCTTGTGGTAGTAAGAGTGAATTAGTTAAATATTAAAATTATAAGACATCTATATATTAAAGGAGTTTTTAAAATTGTTACACACAATGATTTATATATCTTAAAAATTTACTATTATTATTAGCAATGTAGAATTTGGTTTCTACTTTAATTTGGAAGTGTCTTTTTTGCCAAAAAAAGAGAGAGAGTGCTTATCAAATACTCTTTATTACTGCAATTTAGGTGAACCAAGAGATGACTGAGGGGGTCCATCTACAGCAGAGGTAGAGGAAATACATATTCTCTCACCATGGAAGGTAACTGCAAACACAGTGCCAGGAGTATTAGATGTAAGAAAATGCCTTCAGCAATATATTTGATAAAAACTATGCCATGAAAGTAACCTTTGAGCAACTGCAAAAAACAGATACTGACCATGATCTGTAAATAGAGTATGGGCTCTGAGACAAGGCAAATCCGTCACTGGTGACCTGGCACAGGAGCTGTTCAAGGTGCACAGAAGAAAATTAGTCTTCTGTGTCTTTATAACTTCCCATTTCTATGTCTTTATAACTTCCCATTTCATGATGAAAACCAAAACAGCTCACCAGTTACTTCTGGAGAGGGGCATCTAGACTCAGTGGGTTTCCTCCACTCTGAAAATTTATGCCAAGAGTTTGATGCCCAGAGAGACTTGTTGGTATCTCTTTTAGAAAGGACTTGTCAAATGTATGTGATAAAAGCTTAAAGAAATACCTAAGGCATCATTAAATCACACAGTCCTTATATGTAAAAATGTCTGCTCTTTCTTATTGTTTGTTTTAGAGACTTCATCCGAATGGGAAGAAATTGAGCTGAATACGTTTACATGGCATGAGACACTATTTAAAGAGAGAGGAGAGGCAAACATGAAACTGAAATTTTCATAACAAAGAAAAAGATAAAAGAAAATAGTTACCCTTTGTTTAGTCTCTGTTAGAGAACAAATACTCATAATTAAACTGTAACTGGAATCAAAATGTAGTTTGGGATAAACAACGTAAATGGCCTCCAAGATAAATTACAGTACTCATTTCTCTATTGTTGGTGTGTTCTCTCCAGTTTCACCAGAAAGCGGGACTGTGGGGATTCTGTGCTTGGATGTCACCGCGAAGCAGGTTCTCGCATGCCAGCAAGCTCAGCAACTGGTTTGAGTCTGGCCACTTGCTCACCATCTGGAACTACTTCATATTCTCATTACCCAAAGGGGGAAAAAAAGAAAAATAAAGAAGACAAAGAAAGAAAGAAAACGAAAAGAAGGGAGGAAGGAAGGAAGGAAAGGAGAAAGGAAGGAAGGGAGGAACAAGAGAGAGAAATGGCAAGCAAGGTTGCTGGTCTGCCTGTCCCAAGCCAGGCACTCATCCCACCTGGAGCACCCTGCCAGCCACAATTTATCTGACTTTGGGTTTGACTGTGGAATTACTCCCCAGAAATATGTAAGTTATGGATCTTGTGTCGTTACTCCAGATTTTCAAGAGAAAAACATGGCTTTATTTTTAAACATTTAATTTTCAGTCTTTTGCAGGATCCTTATGAAGGCATGTTCAATTTGTAAGGAAAATTGACTGAGTGGATTTTTTCCTAAAGATAAAGCAGCTTACAAGGTATGTGCTCTGGCTTATACCTTGCCATGGGTGGAGGATGGGGCACAGGGGTGGAGTGGGGTAGGGAGAGGGCTTAGAGTGTGCTGGTACTTAGTCTCACAGAGAACAAGAGCCATTCTGATCAAGACACCCTTTTCCATGCTAGTTGTTTTTTTAAGACAAAGCAAAATGAAGAAACTGATACAAAAGGCTCTTAGTTTAAAGCTTCACTTGTTTAAAATTTGTGGGAAAACATATATGTTTATAAATGTAGGAAATTCAAAAGTCTTAGTACTTGCTCAACATTTTGATCTGTAACTAGATTGGATAATTTAGTACAGAAAAAACCCTTACAGATGATATAGTGCTTATAGCCTAAACAAACCTCCAGGGGTATATAATACTTGAAAATTATTGACCTTAACTCTTTGGGCAGATTTAATGATTGTTTCACAAGAAAGCAGAGAACTTTCTCTTTGTTGACCTTCCTAGCCTAGAGGTCAGTAATTAAGACACATGAGCCAAAGAAGACCCTAGGACCTATTTTCATTGGTTTGCATGCAAGCCGCCTTCTCTTGAGAGAATCCTCACCAGCTGCATTTTACAACACGTGAGAATGTGTGGGTGGAATAACCACTTCCCCACTTGTTTTCTGCCTAGTCTCAATATCACTACAACCCACCTGGCTCTGCAGAAGCACAGGTGCTACCAGCCAGGCCTGCCACTTGTTTAAAGAGTAGTCACCCCAGCTGGGCCCACAGTCCAGTACTTGGTCCATCATCAGAATATGGGAGGGGATTATGAAGTAAGAGAAATAAAATTAGTATTTGGTGAGCACCTTATTATAACTGTGAGACAGTCTTTATGAACTTCAGGGAGGTTAAAAAATTTGCCTGAAATGACAGTCATAACTGTTTTAGGTGATTTGAATCTATGGCTTCTGACTCCAAAGCCTATTGTACTTTCGCTAAGTTAGGTTCCATGTCTTTCTGAAGAAACAATTATTATTCTTTAGAAGAAATCTCTTAAACTCTTACCCTCAGGAAGTGCTGCCCCAAAGGTTATTAATTTTTCCTAAAGAAAATGTTTTGTGATAAACTATTTAGAGATCTATGTGTTTAAAATCACCCTCTCACTCCATAAGGCTATATTAATATATTAATATGCATTGTGAGTCTTCTAGAGAGAGATCAGGATGGCTATGCTTCTAAAACCTATATTCTCATATGGTACATCTGTTAATATCCTCTTGAACCAGTGTTCTACACAACAGCATGGGCAAAATGCCTTGAAATATCTAGGAAGTCCATTCTACTTTTCAAGGGCAAAGAACAACTTTATATACATTTGGATAATAATTATAAGTGATATCAATTATAAAATGAAAAAAATATAGAATAAAGAAGGATTATTTATCTCTGCAACACAAAACTTATTAATTGATTTTGAGTTGATCTATTTGATATTTGGATGTGACACCTTTAGATTATTTTCTTCACAAAATTGTAATTGGCAAAATGTTCTCATGGCAACAAAACCCATCAAATCCCAAGCAAAGAATACATACTTAAAGACTAAAGAATGCCTTGTGTGAATACTGCTCTACTCACTGAAAATTGGTAACTCGTTAATAAAAGAGAATTGTCAGTCCTGACAATGAGCCACACATAATGGTAGATACAGAGAAGAATTTAGCAAGGTCTTCAAGGACTTTACTGCCTAAAAGGAGAAACAGACTTAATAACAAATATAACAAGCACCTTTTTAGAGAAGGTATTAGACTATGCTCCTAAACCAGCCCATATTAGCTGGCCGTATCACATAGGCAACTAAATGAAAACAGTATTATTCTGGTCTATTAAGGATTTAAGAGAATTCAAATGTGTCATAATTTTTGTGTGTGTTTGAGGGCAAAAGTGTTCTCCATTTTCTGTATTTTTGTCATTAACCATCTCTGTATAAATTTTGGTCAGCTAGCTGTTGGTTTACAACCCTTTCTAAACTCTACCTGGACCCTGAAAAATACAATTGCTTGTGGGATCTGGGTGTGCATGGAGTCCAGTCTCTTGTACTTGGTAGCTGGCTATGGAATTGGTACCTGTTTAATGTCCCTGGCAATTTCACTACTGAACATTGGGTTTCACTTCTACTTTTGTACATCCTACACTTCTCTCTACCCCCTCCTGAGTAGGATCTTTTAGACCACCAGTGCCTTATTTGGTATTACATCTCTCTAATTCTTCTACTATGTCCTTTCTTATATGTCCACAGTATGCTCTGTTTATGGCTAGATAATCTGTACCAATACCAAGCTTACAGATAAAAAACTTATACAAGTAACTAGAGGAGTGTGGAAAAGTAAACTTTAACTCTGTCAAGGTGGTCAAGAAAATGTCAAGAGATCGCCTAAGCAGCTCTGAGGAATGAATAGGGAGAATTCTGCAAGAAGACATTGAGGGTGGAGAGTGGGAGGAGGGAGGACATGGTAGACTGAAGGAATCCCTATTGCAAAGACACATAGTAAGAGAGGTGAATAGAAACATTTTTATCTGACTAGAGTATAAAATATTAAGGTAGAGATGCCATTGAATATGTTGAAATGGACATTAAGTTCAACAAGACTTCATATAAGAATAACAAATCAGATGTAGAGCTTAGCGATTGTGCTTTGGCAGTGACTTAGAAGGTACAAACTGGAGGTAGGTATACTCCCATTTGAGAAATGATGTGAGCCTGAACCTCGGAGTTGAACCAAGACTTTACCATCAATAAAATGTGGACATTAAGTGTAAAGTTAGATTGTGTATTTGAAATTTTTCTATTGCAAACAACTATGTGCCAACAAATTGGACAATCTGGAAGAAATGGTAAATTCCTAGAAAATGTGAACACTAAAAAACAGAATATTCTTTTCTGCTTTGTTCACAGCTGTATCTTTAGCACCTGGAAGATTACCTGACACATAAATTGAATGACTGTAAACAGGAGAGTACTTGTTATTTAGCCATCCATCCATCCATCCATCCATCCATCCATCCATCCATCCATCCATCCATCCATCCACACTGAACAACTGCAGTATAAACTAATCATAGCTTAGGTCTTGAAAGAATCTATAAAATGGTACAAAAGAATACTATAGAAACTTAAGAAGCATGATTATCTAACAGTGGGGTGAAGAAAAGAATCGCCTTAAAGAGACTGTAAAAAAAGGAGAGAGAGAAAAAGAGAGAGGATATGAAACTAACAATTTGTCACATTGACAGCTAAGGATAAACAAGATTTCACCAGTGATGAGGTAATTGTCAGTATTTTGGTGCTTAATGATACTAACTAATCGTTGTTCATTGTTTTTCCCCCCGTTTTATTGAAGTATAATTTACAAACAATGAAAAGTACAGACCATAAGAGTTTAGTTTAATGAAATATGACAAATATAACTCTGCGACCCACACACTTATCAAACTACAGGACATTTCTATCTTCTCCAAAAGTTCACTCATGTCCCTTCCCAGTCAATTCCTCCCACACAGAGGTGACCACTGCTCAGTTATTTTCTCTATAGATTACTTTTGCCGTTTACTAGCTCCTGTCCTATCACATGCATATAAGACCACTTGATACTGTGCCACAAGTTTCCGTGATTTTTTCTCTCTGTGCTTGGAGGTAGATAGTCTTTATTAACTGATCTTATAAAATGTCCAATCTTCTTTTAAGCTTATGCATTTAGAATGTTTATTTCAATTACATTACCTTTTAGTTTTACAATTTCCACTTTTTTCATAGTTTATATTTCTTTGTTGAAATTTTCCATCTTTTCACACATTACCTTTATCTTGAAATCCATGAATATATTTATAATAACCATTTTAAAGTCACTGTGTGCTAATTCTAACATCTGTGTCATATCTGGGTTTGTTTCTGCTCACTCTAATTCTCCTGGTTATAGATCACATTTTTAAATTCTTCCTTGTATACCCAGCAAATTTTGATTGAATTTTGGGTACTGTGAATATTATATTATTTAAAGTCTAAATTATGCTGTCTTCTTTTTAAAATGTTGAGATTTATTCTAGCAGGCTTTAAATTGCTGGTAGCTGAAACTAATTCTGTTGAGGGTCAGTTTTAGACTTTGTTGAATGGTTCTAAACTTGTCCTACTCTTAAGCTATGGTCTTTCTATGAGTTCAGCTAAATGACTGGGATTTTCAGGGACATGTCTCCACTCTGGCTGGTTAGAAGCCCAAAGTCTTCCAACACTGAGTACCCTGTATAGTTTCCATTTCTTTCCCAGCCCCTTACTAACTATGGTTTTCTAGGCCTCATTTTACCCTGAGTATGCACAGCTTACTATTTGGCCAAAGACTAAAACAGAACCCTATGCAGATGTCTGGGGTTGCTTCTCTATGCTGCTCCTTGCTTTCTGGTACTCCACTCTTTCAATTCTGGCCACCTCAGCAGCCTGACCCCATCTCTCTTTCCTCTGCTTGGGGAGACCAGTGCTCTGTTGTTTTTTGTGGGTTTTTAAAATGTGTTTTTATTGATGTTTTTGAGAGAGAGAGAGAGAGAGAGAGAGAGAGAGAGAGAAACATCAATGATGAGAAAGTCAGCTGCCTCCTGCAGGCCCCCCACTGGGGATGGAGCCTGCAACTGGGACACACCCACGGTCAACCACTGAGCCACACCCACAGGGCGACCAGTGCTTTGTTTGAACTCTAGTTCCCTGTGCTACATTTTGAAAAATGCCCCCAGGCAGATCGCTGGGATGAATGCAAAGCTAGCTTCTCGTGATTTCCTTTTCTCAAGGATCAAACCCTGGTACTGTCTGTTGTACAAAGTCTGGTTTTTGTTTTGTGCCCAGATTTGCAATTGTTTACAGTGGAAGAATTATTCCAATATCCAAGAACGTCTCATAGCCAGGACCAGATGTCCTGGCCGTTGGATTTTGCAGTGGAAGTGCTTTGGAAGACCAGACTGCTGTCAGCATGGTAGGGTAGCAAGTGCCTTTACCTTTCTCCATGGCCACATTTTCCTTTAAGCCGATCCTCGTAATTCTCGGGGGATCTCATGGAGCTTCATTGTACTTAAATCTTAGGGAACATAGAACCTATTTGTTAGCACTGTATTTACAAAATTACATGTATTTCTTTACATTTTCACCTGTATTACCATATCTTCCTCTAAGTCACAGCTTTTGGTAAATCAGATGGCATTTTTGGATTACCTTGAGCAAAGTTAAAAGAAAAGGCAAATTAATATATTGATAGATGGATTCAGTCAATACTAAAACTGAAATGTAGGTCTTTTTTCATAACCGTCAAATCATTGATTCCATTGATTTTCACTTGGAAATAGTTATGGAGTTTTCGTGTGGACAATCTGTATTCACCAGTTGTATGGGAGTCACACACACATAGCTTAAGTTATGCATAACAGTGCACTCTGCCAAATGACTGCACAGCTGGAGAGTTCACTGGGGGTAGCAGCTGGGTGAGGATCCTCAAAAGATGGGTGGGTATTGAAGGAGTTCTGTCTTGCTTTTGTACCCAGAAGGCTCACTATTAGCATCCTGCAAACACAAAGAAGAGATTAGAGTTTATTGTTCATTTCCCCCTCATGGGGAAGCCACGTATGTTTATGTCCTAAAGACTGCACATTTAAAAGAAAAAGCCACTTTCACTGTGGAATTAACCAAATTGACTATCTTCCCAGTTTGAATTCACTGGCTAACTGCTAATCCCCACTTTACATTATGCTCTAAAGACTCAACCAAAGGATTCTAAAGGCCTGCATTTCCAGGTTTTCTCATCTGTAATACAAACACCAGTTAAAGATATAATATCATTTTATGCTACTCTCAAAGGGCAGCCAGCAAAGCTGGCCAGCATTGCTGCAACATTTTAATTACTGGTGCTTACCACAATTTGCAATAATTACAGTTCATTTAGTGAGCTGGTTCTTAATTGCAGACACTGCTAAAGTAACAATTGAATAAAAAATAAAATGCACTTTCACACACATACACACACATACACACACACATATATGATTGAGAAAGATGTAGGCTTATAAAGAAATAAAAGAAACAAGCAAATTCTACTAGATCAATTTCTAAAACAGAGATAATAAAAAGCAGTTTTTTTAAACCAAAGGCCCGGAATTAAATTTAATCATCAAGACAAGTTGCTTCACTATTTATGATATTTTTGTTCTTTAGCATAATTCCTAATTCTATGCTTTTTTTTTTTTGAATTCAACAAAGCTCAATGAGTGAATTCTAGTACTAATATAAGTAAACTCTTAACTAACTACTGTTCATTGTTAGGTGGCAAATCTCAAAATAGAGATTATTTCTATTTAAAACTTATTTTCATCTAAAATTAAAAGCCATTCTGGAAAACTCAATGAAAACTCTTTTCTTGTTTATTCTTCACTTCACTGAACATCAAGTAAACATGAGACTTTACCCTGTAGAAATGTAGGTGATATGGGAAAGCAGAATATTTGGTGGGTACGGAAGTAACGGAGATGCTAAGGAAAGCTAAACCAAAGTGAAGAGAACAGTTAACAAGAGGTTTTGCTCTCTGGATAAGAAAGTACATTAAGTTGTAATTTTTCTATTAGTCATACTTTTTCAGATGTCCTTGAGTAATTCCTCTAAGTTCTCTGTGCTTCAGTATTCTTGAAGACAAGTAAAAGACCATCATGGAGTCAATTCTTGCTTGGAGAAAGGTCTGGGTTTTGATCATATCATGGGTTAGTATTCTTGAGAGCACTTTTAAATAGATGGATGCACTACGATGCCTTTCTGGCAGGTACTGCATTGCTTCTCAGTTACGCTAATTCCATGAAGTAGCCTTGGCAATTTGCTCCCAAAGGTTGGAAGCCAAGGAATGATTGGGAGAATAGAGGTAACACAGAATAATTTCATCAGATAACTCAGTAATCATAAGGATTACCTTCTAAGTTTTGTGGAATTTTGTTATAAAACCATGTCTTCACATGCAAAGTGAATTGCAGCATGGAAGCAATCAAGAAACTAAAGGAATTAGGAGACAATTTTCCTTCTGTTCTCAGGAAGATTCTTCTGAAAGTGAAAGAAAAACTTAAGCCCCAGACTAATTTTTTGGATGTTTTCCAGTGTCAGAATAGTCTCAACTCATATCTAGTTAACATCAAAACTTATCATAAATTGTTCTTCACACTTTTTAAAAATTATGAACATTAAAGGAGAGAAATTTGCGTTGACTCAACCAATAAAACAGGAAAAGTAATATTTTTTTTTATTGGACACATTTATTCATTTCTTTGCTGACATGGGTTTAAACATAAAAGCTCTTTTTCAAAAAATGGTCTTTTCCCTAACAGGTATTATAATTATATCATGGATCTTTAGCGAGATTCTAGTCTTTACTATCCAGAATTCTTAAAGAGAACATTTTAAATCAAAGCAACATAACAAGCCAAACAACAAAAAATCCCTCCCCACAAAAGAGTTGTCTTCTTAGTAGATGGTTTTGATTCGAATAGGTGGTAATATAAAAAGCAATGCATCTCTCAGCATAAAAGACAACTCTATTCAGATTAAAACAAACTTGTGACCTTTATAAGAAAAACTGATATGCTGGTCCGTCAAAGGCAGGTGCCTTGCATTTGGTAGCCTCAACTAATGTTAATTGAAAAAATTGGAGAAAAAAATGGAATAAACAAGCATTGTCCAGAACAGGGTGAATGGATAAAAACAAACGTCACTGGATTGGCATCTCTTCTTAAGGAAACCTCAAATCCACACATACCTCTGCTCCGTGGCGTGGAGATATCCCCCAGAGGATGTCTTTGCCACGTTAAGATTTATTATCCCTTTTTGATAAAAAATACTGAGCTGTATTGGATAACTCCACTAGTGATAACTATAGCAGTCATTTACTGAGTATTACATGCTACGCAATATATTGTCTTATGCTATTTTATCCTCATAGCAACTTTATAAAGTAAATGACATTATTATCCCCATTTATAGATGAATAAATAAAGATTTAGAGAACTAAGTAACTCGCC